GATCATATCCCCTCTTAAGCGTATCTTCTCCAGGTAAAATAAGTTTAACATTTGTAGTCATTCCTCATAACTGAAGATATCAAGCCCAGTACTTAGCTTTGTTGCCCTTCTCTGGACTCTCTCTATAGTTCAAGGACATCCTTCCTGTAGACAAATGACTAATCCTGGACGACCTACTCAAGAGGAGACCAAACCAGAGTTTTTTAAAGTAGTAGAATTATAGTTTTATCTCTTGAGTAACTATCCTTTTTAATACATGCTTACAGTCTGCTGACCTTGCTTGCTGCAGCTTGGCATTGCATGCCATTGCTGAGTCTTTGATCTACTAGGACTCCTAGAGGTTCTCCCCCTAACAAAACTTGTATTCATATTTTTAGCAACAAACTGTATTACTTTACATTTTTGAATCTTAAATCTCTTCTGCCATATAGCTGTCATATATTGTCATATATTCTACCCTCTATATCGTTTATGAACAAGTTAAACATATTTGGTCTCAGAACAGAGCCTAGGGTACCCTGCTCACAATTATAGCCCATTCAGAAATATGTAATTAATCACCACCCTCTGGATGTGCTCCTGCAACCAGTGTACCACATGAGCCGTAAAGCACAATTAGGCCTCCACCAAAAACATTTTCAACACTGGGCCCAAAATTGGGAACTTTTAGCCATATCCTATTATGCCAGTTTATTAGCTCATTATGACAGATTTCATTGGCTAGTGCTACATATCAATTATTTGTATACATTTTTGCCTGGTATTTGAGAATTCTCTATAGTTGGTTCAAAACAGTTACTGTATAATTCTTCAGGTCAACATATTAAAGCCCTCCTATTGATCTGTGCCAGTCTGCTAACTGCACATCTGCTTTTTTGCCCTGCCACATATAGCAATTTATTATGGACTTCATGGACCATGTGTGAAAGAAATGTGTGCGCATTAGTACATGTTTTGGCACATGATTGGGCAGATAAGAGGGTCTTGGAAAGTGGAGAATTCTATCAATTACCAATTGAGAAACATTTAGATCAGGTAGAAGGGTAGTGAGCATATCACAAGCATAGCTATGCAAAGTATGTTTACAGTATGCCGCAGATCCTGACGTTATTAATAGAGATGAGCGAAGTATTCAAAAATTCGATTCGACTGATTCGGCGAATTCGTGGAAAAATTTCGATTCGAGTCGAATATATTCGCTGTGAATTTAACTTAAAAAAGGGTGTTTCTAGGCTTCAGAGAGACTTAATATTAGTGCTGAACACTGTACCTTTAATTTAAATGCCCTTGGAGTCTGCTGGGGAAGAGAAATAATACTGTCAGGCAGTATGACATGCAGATGAGTGCCGTCGATCTTAGAATCACCGCACACTTCACTCATTTGGGCAGTCACGGGGCCAAAACCAGAGTGTGGAGCCACAGTGTGGCGGTGGAGGCAGCAGCAATGGGAGGCCATACAGCACCCTATGACAAAATGGAAACCAGCAGGAGTGTGAGGAGACCTGAAAGTGGCACATGCAGTGGGAGCAATGGGAGGCGGTACAAGGACCCATGTCACACTGTGGACCCAGCAGCAGCGTGACCAGGCGGTACGGGGGCCCATGGCAGATTACAGGCCTGGCAGCAGCAATGGGAGGCCCGTAATCTGCCAGCACCCTATGACAAAAAATGGAACACACCAGCAGTGTGAGGAGACCTGAAAGTGGCACATGGCAGAGTGTGGCGATGGAGACAGCAGCAATGGGAGGCCGTACAGGGACCCATGACAGACTCTGGACCTGGCAGCAGCATGAGGAGGCGGTATAGGGGGCCCATGGCAGATTAGGGGCCTGGCAGCAGCTATGGGAGGCCCGTAATCTGCCAGCACCCTATGACAAAAAATGGAATACACCAGCAGTGTGAGGAGACCTGAAAGTGGCACATGGCAGAGTGTGGCGATGGAGACAGCAGCAATGGGAGGCCGTACAGGGACCCATGAGAGACTCTGGACTTGGCAGCAGCATGAGGAGGCGGTATAGGGGCCCATGGCAGATTAGGGGCCTGGCAGCAGCTATGGGAGGCCCGTAATCTGCCAGCACCCTATGACAAAAAATGGAACACACCAGCAGTGTGAGGAGACCTGAAAGTGGCACATGTTTGGGGCATGATTCATGGCGGATTTAGTCAGTTGTGTCAGGAACTGGTGGTTTGAAATCCAGACTAATCCACGCCTGATTCATTTTCACAAACGTCAGTCTCTCCACACTTTGGGTGGACAGTCGTGTCCTCCGCGGAGTTGCAATACCTCCTGCCGCACTAAACACGCGCTCCGATGCCACGCTACTGGCCGGGCATGACAGCCTTTCAAGGGCAAATTCAGCTAGTTGGGGCCAAAGGTCAAGTTTCGTTGCCCAGTAGTCAAGGGGATTGTCTACCTCGGTTGGCAGGGTGCTGTCCAAGTAGGCCTAAGCCTGTGTTGTTTGAGGTCCTGCTCCAGGTCCACCTGATGCTGCTGCTGCTGCTGCTGCTGCTGGGCTGGTTAGTAGTTTCCTCACTCACTGCGCTGGTGAAGAAAGCTACTCATCATCGACTGCAGACTGAGGCAGCCGCTGCTGGTGGAGCTGCCACTGCTCCTACCACCCCCCACCCCTCCCCTGCTGCCATGGCAGCGGAACGCGAGCGCACAGGGCCCACAGTGTCTGAGGATGGACGTTGGCGCAGACAGGCAGAGACCAGCTGACTACATAGGTGGTTTTTATAGTACGTTATTTTGGCCTCCCTCTCAGCAGGTGTGAAAAAGGCCACCATTTTTGAACGGTAGCGAGGGTCCAACAAGGTGGACAGCCAAAAGTCATCCCTCTGTCTGATGGTTATTATTATTGGCTGTCGCTACGCAAGCAAGCGAGCATGCTATGGGCCATTTGTGCCAAGGAATGCGAGGGACTCCCTGCCTCCATCTCCACAGCATACTGCCACGGTGCGTCTGGGTCCTCTGTCTCCTCCTCCTCCTCCTCTACCAGATGCTCCTGCTCCTCCACTCCTGTCCGCTGAGTGGAAAAACCACCCATTTCACTCAATAATTCCTGAGCACCAATGTCCTCCTCTACCTCCTCCTCTTCTTCCTGTCCTGCCCCCACAGGGGTCATGTGGCGTTGAGATCTGTGCGCCACGTCTACCGCACCCTGACCAGCCATTGTTAACAGCATTTGTTCCAGGACGTGCAACAGAGGAATGACGTCGTTCATCCCATAGTCCTGGCGACTCACGAATAGCGTGGCCTCCTCAAAGGGCCTGAGCAAGCGCAGGTGTCACGCATGAGCTGCCAATGGCTGACATCTAAGTTACACAGGGAGTACCTTTATCCGCTTTTAACATCAGGAAATCGGTGATGGCCTTTCGCTGTTCGTAAAGGCGGTCTAACATATGTAGGGTTGAATTCCACCTTGTTGCAACGTCACAGCATGAGGAGTCGGTACGGGGGCCCATGGCAGATTACGTGCCTGGCAGCAGCAATGGGAGGCCCGTAATCTGCCAGCACCCTATGTCAAAAAATTCAACACACCAGCAGTGTGAGGAGACCTGAAAGTGGCACATGGCAGAGTGTGGCTATGGAGACAGCAGCAATGGGAGGCCGTACAGGGACCCATGACACACTCTGGACTTGGCAGCAGCATGAGGAGGCGGTATAGGGGCCCATGGCAGATTAGGGGCCTGGCAGCAGCAATGGGAGGCCCGTAATCTGCCAGCACCCTATGTCAAAAAATTCTACACACCAGCAGTGTGAGGAGACCTGAAAGTGGCACATGGCAGAGTGTGGCGATGGAGACAGCAGCAATGGGAGGCCGTACAGGGACCCATGAGAGACTCTGGACCTGGCAGCAGCATGAGGAGGCGGTATATAGGGGCCTATGGCAGATTAGGGGCCTGGCAGCAGCTATAGGAGGCCCATAATCTGCCAGCACCCTATGTCAAAAAATTCAACACACCAGCAGTGTGAGGAGACCTGAAAGTGGCACATGGCATGAGACACTGTGGACCTGGCAGCAGCATGAGGAGGCGGTATATAGGGGCCCATGGCAGATTAGGGGCCTGGCAGCAGCTATGGGAGGCCCGTAATCTGCCAGCACCCTATGTCAAAAAACTGAACACACCAGCAGTGTGTGTGAGGAGACCTGAAAGTGGCACATGGCAGAGTGTGGCGATGGAGACAGCAGCAATGGGAGGCCGTACAGGGACCCATGAGAGACTCTGGACCTGGCAGCAGCATGAGGAGGCGGTATATAGGGGCCCATGGCAGATTAGGGGCCTGGCAGCAGCTATGGGAGGCCCGTAATCTGCCAGCACCCTATGTCAAAAAAACTGAACACACCAGCAGTGTGTGAGGAGACCTGAAAGTGGCACATGGCAGAGTGTGGCGATGGAGACAGCAGCAATGGGAGGCCGTACAGGGACCCATGACAGACTCTGGACCTGGCAGCAGCATGAGGAGGCGGTATATAGGGGCCTATGGCAGATTAGGGGCCTGGCAGCAGCTATGGGAGGCCCGTAATCTGCCAGCACCCTATGTCAAAAAACTGAACACACCAGCAGTGTGTGAGGAGACCTGAAAGTGGCACATGGCAGAGTGTGGCGATGGAGACAGCAGCAATGGGAGGCCGTACAGGGACCCATGACAGACTCTGGACCTGGCAGCAGCATGAGGAGGCGGCGGTATATAGGGGCCTATGGCAGATTAGGGGCCTGGCAGCAGCTATGGGAGGCCCGTAATCTGCCAGCACCCTATGTCAAAAAAACTGAACACACCAGCAGTGAGGAGACAGCAGCAATGGGAGGCCGTACAGGGACCCATGAGAGACTCTGGACCTGGCAGCAGCATGAGGAGGCGGTATATAGGGGCCTATGGCAGATTAGGGGGCCTGGCAGCAGCTATGGGAGGCCCGTAATCTGCCAGCACCCTATGTCAAAAAAATTATTCTGAACACACCAGCAGTGTGTGAGGAGCGACCTGAAAGTGGCACATGGCAGAGTGTGGCGATGGAGACAGCAGCAATGGGAGGCCGTACAGGGACCCATGACAGACATCTCTGGACCTGGCAGCAGCATGGAGGAGGCGGTATATAGGGGCCTCTATGGGAGGCCCGTAAATCTGCCAGCTTCCTCCTCATGTCAAAAAATTCTGAACACACCAGCAGTGTTGTGAGGAGACCTGAAAAGTGGCACATGGCAGATGTGCGATGGAGACAGCAGCAATGGTAAGAGCCGTACATGGGACCCATGACAGACACTCTGGACTTGGCAGCAGCATGAGGAGGCGAATATAGGGGGCCTATGGCAGCATTAGGGGCCTGGCAGCTAGCTATGGGAGGCCCGTAATCTGCCAGCACCCTAGGTCAAAAAATTTCTACCCACCCAAGCATTGTGAGGAGACCTGAAAGTGGCACATGGCAGAATGTGGGCGATGAGACTGCAGCAATGGGAGGCCGTAACGAGGGACCCATGAAGACTCGGACCTGGGGGGCAGCATGAGGAGGGCGGTATATAGGGGCCTATGGCGATGGGGGGCCGGCACAGCTAGGGGAGGCCCGTAATCTGCAGCACCCTTGTCAAAAAAACTAAAAACCCCACCGCAGTGTGTGAGGAGACCTGAAAAAGGGGGTG